AAGCTCTGAAAAAAACAGTGCTGCGACTGGGTGAAATGCTTTCCCTTTCAACGTGCCATTGTGTGTCGCGGGACCACATGTTTTCTCACAAACAATGGACAAGTGGAGGGTGTAGCCAAATTCTCATGGGTGTCGGACAGGCGGCGGCCGGAGACGGAACTCCTCGAGCTAGCAGGCCAAAAAAATGTCCAAGGGGTCGCAAGGATCATCGGCCACAGTACCATCACTTGTATCGCCGACATGCGCTGCGGCCTGACCTTCAACAAGCGCCACGACTTCAAAAGCGCACCCCCCAGCAGGGCCTCCTCATTTCATCAATCTCAGCCGCTCGCCGAGCCCTGTCGCTTAGATATCCGTCGAAAGTCATCTTCCAGGAAGCGCAGATCCCCGGACAAGGGGCTGCAGGCGTCCAAACGATCACGTTCCATCAATAAACCGTTGAGGGACACCACCCAGCAGAAGGACGAACTAGCTTTCTCCGTTCAGTCAGCACACAAGCCGAGCCTCTTCAATAAGAATGGTGAGGAACTGTATGATAACCGTGTCCTCCGCTGTCTTGTGATATCACCCACTGGCCGGCCGATCTACAAGTATGAATCACCCTTAGAGCTGCTCATGGCACTTCGCGATGCAATAAAGGCGCATCAGTCTCTTTATCTGGATGGAAACATTCTTCATCGGGATATTTCAGAGAACAATATAATAATAACTGATCCGGAAAAGGCGGATGGTCACTCTGGAATGCTAATCGATCTGGATCTTGCTAAAGAAGTTGGTAGTGGGCGAAGCGGCGCACGGCACCAGACTGGCACAATGGAGTTCATGGCAATCGAGGTGCTGCTTAATATCGATCATACCTATCGGCATGACCTCGAGTCTTTCCTTTACGTGCTTATCTGGCAGTGCGCCCGTCATGGCTGGGGGAAGAATAACCATCCTAAGGATAGTAAACTTCGTGCCTGGTATACTGGTAACTATGAGGACATTGCAAATGCCAAGCTTGGTCATATGAGCAAAGCTGAAAATATGGGATTCGGGTTCATTTTGAGGGAGTTTCCTCCAAAGTTCCGTGATGTTTTACCACTTTGTGAGGCTCTACGAGACATACTCTTTCCTTACAATGACAAAGGTCTTATTGTTGGCACTCCTCAAGACCCAAACCGCTTATATGATCCTATTATTAAGGCATATGATGACACAATTGCCCAATTTGAACTTGAGACCCTCACTAGTGATAAATATGTTTAGTGTGCTCTCAGGGTTAATGTCATGTCCTGCTGATTTGCTGAGTTAGATAGTTGATTTTTGATAATATTATTTTTCATTTACTTATTTCCCTGAGGAGTTTATTAATACTCATTGTAAAGGACCCGACCATCATCTAGCTACATGCAATATCGGCGTCCTGGGAGCCTGGGGAATCTCCGGTAGAAGTAGAATCAGAATGCCTGCAGAGCTTTGCAGACTGTGAGCATTTAAATTCTTATATTAATTAGAGTGTTTTCATAAACTTCAAAGATTAACATCTTTATAAGAGTATCTGCAGTTATATCAGTAGTATTCACTCATTTAATCTTGATAATGTCTGAAGCAGCAGTATCACAGACATGATAATATTGTATATTTATATAGTATATATTGCAGATAATCTTATTACTGTTTACTATAGCAATTACATCATTGTTGTCAACATACAGAGAAACAGTGAAGTCAGAGAGTAGAAATTCAAGCTTAATTAGTAGTTTATTTAACTAGATTATACTTTTTAGACTCTTACTGACAGATATATACTCAGCTTCTATAATACTTAGAGTCATGATTGTCTGTTTAGCTGATTTTCATGCCGTTGAGTTATCAGCTAGACAGATGAGATGACTTAATATAAATTTACAGTTATCAGCATCATCTACTCAATCAGAATTAGTGTAGACTTTAAAATTGAGATCTTTTATACTAGTAGCATACTAAATGAAGTAGTCTGTAGTGCTATAAATATAATGAAAGAGTTATTTAACTGCAGCTCAGCAAGCTTATATTAACTTATTTAATCAGTATATGAGCTTTACAGTTACAAAGAAAATATCAGAATAAATATAGATAATAAGATATTAAAGAGATCTGATAGTTTACTGATATTTAAACTTATCAAAGAGTTCAGAGTCAGATTACAGATTAAATATAAATTTTATTAAGATTTTTACAGCTTTAAAGTTTATCATTTCATACTCATTCAATATTAATTCAATATAGACAGATTATAAGAGCTTAATATTACTTTCATTCTTTTCAATTTTCATACTTAAGTAGTGATTAATAGAGCTCAGATCTTTGACAGTGAATTAATTAGTAATTTATATAAATATCTATTTAAGAGTATTTATATCTGAGTTTATAAGTTTAACATTATTTATGTATAGAGTGAGATAGATTTGAGAATCTCTTTTAAGCTAGAAACTCTTATTATGATAGCAAAACTTAAAATTAATATCTTTTAGATAATTTACAAGAAGATTGAATCACAGATAGAGTGTCTGTTTTAAACTGTAGAGAGATTATAGAAGTAGATAGATATAGCTAGTATTATTATTCCAACTAATTAGCTATCTTATATAGAGTTACTCATTGAGTGAGAGATCTGTGTTTAGAAATACTGTAATAAAGTTAACTGAATAAACATTTCAGCTCTTAGTCACTGTAACTGTAAGTATTGTATAGATGATAGAGATGAAAATAAGAGATATATAGATATCACTAAAGTTAATATTTTTTTATTCACAGAAGTCTTAAACAACTTATCTTGCTTTGTAGAATGTGATATCACTGCTTATATTAATTTTAATATAATAAACTCAGCAACTGTCAAGAATCTGAGTTTTAATATTTAATTTATTAACTATTTTAAATATTTTATACTCAGCTGCGGAGTTAAGCTTCTTTTTTATTACAGCTACTCAAGCTTTCTTCTGTGAGTATTTAACTATCTCTTTATATATTTACAGAACTTTAATTTCTGCAATAGTTTCAGAGATCTGATACATAACACAGATATTGAATATGTAATAGAGCTGAAATTTAATAACACTGAATGTCTTCAGAGTAATGAGATTGAAAGCTGTGATATTTTTTCAGAGTCTTTTATATTTTTTCAGAGAGATAGATGACTTCTCACTGACTTTCTTTCAGAGCTATCTGACTTTACAGCTTATAACAGTAGTAGTAGATAAGAGAGTGATATCTTTCAGAGATATATGTACAGAGAGAAATATATTCTGTAAAGATATAGATTTAGACAATTGAACAGTCTTTGACTGATTTTCATCAGAGAATTCAGTTACAGTTAATATGTGAGAAATCTCAATTGTATTACAATTATCAAGTGCACAGTCTATAAGATATATCAGTATAATATTCTCATTGAATTTCACACTGCTGAATATAATAACTTTATTCTTTGAGAAGTTTTATATTCTATATGTTATTTTACGGTAGTATTCAATTAAAATTATTTATTTACTATATTCAGTGAACTTGCTGTACTCTGTGTATAAGCATTCTTTTAATATATAGACAGATGTCTCTACTGTCTGCAAGTTCTTGATATATGAATATAGCCTGTCTTCTTAAGCTTTATATAAGATAAGCAGAATTCTATTCTTGAGTTGAACAGTGTCTGAAAATAGAGATGTGCTTATAAGAGCTATATTAATATATATTATCACTGTGAAGACAGCCTCTACTTATAGAATAGTAGAGAGACCTGCTTGAATTATTATAGTATAAGCTTTTAAAATTACAGTTTGAATAAAGTGTTCTGTCACATTATCTTGATTAAAAGTATATGACTCTGTTAATTCTCATTTCATACTGAATTCTGTAAGAACTACTTGCATTCACTGACTACTTATTTCTATGATTTTATCAGAATGTGTGTAAGTTAGTTTAATGTCTCAATTTTGAAGATGTTTCAGATGAAAGTCTATAATGTTCAGCAGCTGATCTTTGTTCTTTAAGAAGTAGACAGTCTTATAATATGTGATATCATTCACTATAAGAAACAGATATTTATAGCCTTGTAGAGAAGAGAGAAAATCATCTAAATTATCAAAGAATTCACTGTTATCAGTAATATCAAAGTGCAGATACATGCTGTATAAGCTGACTCTACTTATAAGAGCTTATAATATCTTCTTCTTAACTTTTGCAAGTTTACAGATCTTACAGAACAGTATTTCAGAGTCTCTCTTAATTGTAGTATTAGAGATGAGATCTTTCATCAGTTATTAAATGTTACTGATATTCAGATAATTAAGATATACATATTATATAAATAGAGTATTAATATAATTTGAAGCAGTCTTTGCAATCATAGCTAGAGTGGCCTCTCAGATGCTATAAATAAGATAGATATAGTGATTAATTATTACTGTGTAGAATCTTTGATCATTCTTATTAATCATTATAAATTCAATTATTTAACAATTTTTATTGTGAAGAAGTTTAAAATTGAGGCTCTTATTAATAAGTTAGCTGAAGCTCACGAGATGATAGGATACTCTTAGTATATAGCAGATATTAAGCAGATTAAGTTTCATTTTATTAATGTGAATACAAGCTTCTCTCACATCTATAAAAGTAATTAACTCACTATTAATTTCTTCTGCTGAACTGAGATTCTACTTATTAATGAGAGTATGTATATATTTAAACACACTCTTGTCAGATGATATGATATAGAAGACTTCAGTGTTTAAATATTATAAAGAGTCTTTATAAATTATTAACAGTGCTTTTTCAGTTATTATAGACAGGTCTTTTACAGTCTCTGCAAAGCTGTCATTCTTTACTTTTTTCTCAGAGACTGTATACTTTTATGTATAATATTCAATATCAGAACAGTTAATATTTTATTATTTCTATAATTAAGTCTTTCAATTTTTACAGTAGTAGACTATTTCAGTGTGATCTTAGCAACTGCAATATTTACATTTGAGATCTGAGTTAAACATACTTTTTTATCAGATGTAGAGAGTGTTTTCTCTTCACTTATCTACAGACTGCTGTTTTTTAGAATTATCTACTTCTTTAGTCTTTTCAGTATTCTTATTCTTATTCTTTTTCTTCTTCTTTTTCTTTTCAGCTTCTTTCACTGACATTCTCTTTTCATTATCATTGAATCTGATAACTGTCGTGTAGCAGATAAGGTCATTAATGAGATTATCAAGATCAATCTCAGAAATAGATGTGTTTGAAATTTCTTAATATAGATTTTTAAGATAGATATAAATGACTATTTATACATGAGTCTTCAGATTATAAATGATGTAGAATAAGTGCTCGCGGGCGATTATTCAGATGTTTGCAGCTTGACGTGATATGTACTGATAACTACTAGAAGTATTCACAGTAGAAAGATAAATGTAGAGATGAAATGTATAATAATATTCAAGCTAAGTTATGAATAGTAGTTGCAAACTTCAGTCTACATAGTTGTGTGTAGTCAAGAGCTGCTAACTCTATTAATTACATAAGAGATAGAAATAGAGATAAAGAATTCATAAGAAGTAAGATTTCTTACATACTCTCTTCTCTCTAAGACTTTATCTATGAAGTCTTTCACTGAGTGATTTCATAAAATTGAGCTCAGCACTGCAGTGATACTCACTAAAAACTCTTTACATCTATAGAAAATCTCTCATTACTGTAAAGAGAAAAGAGTCTGTTACTCAGTTTCTTATTTTATAAGATTCTTTATAATCTACAGATCTTTCTCTGACTATTATACAGATTCATCTTACATCTTTCATACAGAAGAGTTTCAGTTAACTCTTAATTATTTCTATAAGAGTCTTATGTAATTATCACACAGATTTATTCTGCATCTTTCAATCTGAAGAATTTCAGTTCATCTTCAATCATTCTTCTGTGAGATTCTTGTGTAACTGTTACACAGATTCATCTCATAGATGAATCACTTTCTGTAAGATTACTCTCATTAAAGAGAAGTATTTGTGAGTTAATCTTTTACTTATTCTTGTGAATCATTCTTCTTTAACACTGTAGAGTTGTAAGAAATTTCTCATTCTTTCATCAACTCTGTAGAATTGTATAATTAAGATATTTATAATTTACAATCACTCTTTATAGTTATATAGAAAGATTCAGATCTGTGATTTATAATCACTTTTTATTTACTAAAGTAATCTGACTGTTCTGTGAGATTACTTATAGTGTAAACAAACTTCTCTAGA